CGACTCTACAACTGCGGGAATCTGTATGCCAACATGTTGGGTCAATTATACGAATACCTACCATCATTGCACTCACTTTGCACAAATTTGAATCGTGTTTTAATAGCCTAAAACCACGATGTGCCGACAACATCAATACATTTTTCATTGAAAATTTGAAGAAATTTGAAAACTTATTACGAGTTTAAAAAATACAAAAATTCTCACGAATTACTACTACCAATGATTGACATCACAATGAGAAAGAATGCAAGGATGTGAGTGAGGAAAAGAAAAAAATAATCCACTTGCTGGTTTACTCAGGCAGTACCCATGCAAGTACCATGCCCGATTTAGCTTAACTTAAACGTCGGTCGACAACCTTACGACACGTGTGTAGGAATAATTTGCAATTGATCCGAATTGGCGGCTATTTCATATTTGGAAAGGTTTCAAACTTGTTATTACTAATAATTACTACTACTACTAATAATTGACATCACAGTGAGAAAGAATGCACAGACATCGCCTCATATCTATTTCATGTGTGTGATGAAATGAACAAAATCCACCTGCTGGTTTACTCAGGCAGTAACCCATGCAAGTACTAAACACGCACGTTTTAGTTTTTCTTAAACGTTGGTCGACCACCTTTGTTTTCTTTTATAAAAGGACGAGACCACTAATGTAATTTTTTTTCATGTAAATATTCTTAAGTTAATGCCTAACTATGTTAATAACACAATGTTGAATTCAGACTATATATATATATATATATATGAATGCTGATATAGTGATACAGATTTCGAAATCGTGCTCAATCTCAATCAAGAAGTTTGTTTGAAAAGTATCTCCGTCAACCCTTGCAAGATTCATATATCTGTGTTTGAAAGTGGTGATTTTAAATCTGTATTCATTTTAAATTTTAGTTTGTATTTATAAGTTTCCAAAAGGTTCATGTGATGTTTTGATTGTTTGAATTGGCGTCGGTGATATACTATTATATAACGTGCAATAGATAAGAGATAGTTAATTATCTTCCTTTTCTGCTTACTTGTAGGTTTGAAATAACCAAAAATGATATACGAACGTTTCGCTTCTGTTCGTATATTTGATATGTATAATATGTATATTATGTCGAACACAAACTCCCAAACTTGTTTTACAGAATAACACATGGCTATCATATGGTAGACATTTTCTACATTAAAATTACAAAAGTCGCATAAAGCACTTTCAGTAAACCTCATCTTCAACAGTTTATCGTTTGTAAACATTATTGTGCATTATGGGATATTTTATAGTCTACGTCGCCCAGAAAATTATCTTTAAAACCGCTATAAATTTCTTCCCACATGTCAGAATAATTGAAATCGGAAAAATACGATTCCAGTGTGTGACGCTGGGTAGTTCTACTTGTTTAATGGTTTGAACAATCTGTGTTGTTTCGTACTTAGGAATTGGTCAGTTACTTCAGCCTGGGGGGGGGGTCCCCCGGCAGAATAAATTTTACCAGCTGTAAATCTCAGTTGACCCACCCCTTATCAAATAAAAAAAAGTGGGTGACCCCCCCCCCCCCCAACATTAAATTTTAAAACATGCTGACCCCCCTAAAAAACAAAGAAACATTAACAGTTTTGGCTCTAGCATGATTACACAATGTATTATATGTGCATTGAAAATATCATGGTTGGCCATAATTTTGACATCATTTTTAGTGCTTGCATTTAAGGATGCGGTAGAGTTATCATGCTCTAAAAAGTAAAAACTATTTTCATGAAGAAAAGTGTTTTGAAGCATAGCAAATTATATGTTTTCTTGAAGCCCTTGTTCCTGGCTTTTTGAAAAAAATGATCTGCGACATGTACCACGAATTAGTCACAAGATTACTAAGTAAACATAGGTGTTGTTTTGAATAAAAATGAGTTTTGTATAAAAACCGTAGGGGTTTTGTAAAAAAAGAAAGCTTAAAAATCAAGGCAGCATCAGCACCGTCAATGCCTCGGGAGTGTTAGAAAATGGATCGCATATTTGTGTACAATTACATCAATTTACATTTTTTTTGTTATTTCACCCATAGACAAGGAATTTAAAAGCCTTTTATTTTTCATTGCGAGGAGTTATCAAAAAATGCTTCAAGGGTTTTATTCTGTGCCAATACGTTATCAATGTTTGTGAATTTTTTTAGGTTAATTTCTGGACGCACAACTCACTTGAATGACCTCTATGGCGTCAGATTTATTCTGCCTGAAAACGCCAAAAAAACAAAACATTTGTCACGTTGCGCTAATTTTGGACATTTGAAGATTGACTGATTTTTACAACAAAACACAAAATCCAAAACTATAAAGTTTTGGGCCCGTATTCGTCCTCCAAAAAGAAGCGAAGTTGTTTCAGTACACAGCGGCCCCGCATAACGTTGAACAGTTAGAGAGATAAATGACGTCATCTCATTATATATTCAAATCATGTTTACTTGCGAAGCGTGGTCTGTAAAACAAACGCTTGCCTAGTAACCGGAGAAAGAGGTCGACATGCCTAAACGCCAACCCCTAGTGCTAATTAACTCAACAACATCCGACGTTATGTCTTGTTCTAGCTG